AAACAATTTCTTCGATCCTTCTCTCAGTATATTCAACGATGGAATTACATTTCGAGGCGAGCAGAGGTTAGCAAAAAAAAAAAAAAAAAAGAAGAAACGAAAATGTCAATCTGGCGTGGATGGAGGAGGACGCGGCAAATATCAAATAGTGGGATGTGGCGAGGAAAAACTCGCTTCCTCTCTTTCTCTCTTTATCACTCACGGTTTTTCTGTATTTGCAGCGAAGCGAGAAGAACCGTGCACACACGCCTAGGTGAACGCAAGGGATGAAAGTGGTCGGTCCGAGTCACCTACTTTCGTATCTCGCTCGTTTGTCAACGGTATCAGAGGGGTGTGACGGGTTGGCGGAATCCTCAGAACGGGGGCTGGATGGCCCGCCGGACTCGTCGACCGGGATTTAAAAGCGTTTCGATGTAAACATCCCTTGTTACTCGCGAATTCGGCCACCTAATTCCTTCCGAACGGTGACGAGCGATCGTCCCTCCCTTCTCCCTCCATAGAGATACATCCACTTTTCATTGATCGCGATTCTAATCAAATCTCGTTGAATATCACCGCGTAAATGTACAATTGAGAAGAAGATGCAGCGGGGTATAAAAATAATATTTCGAATTAATTCGATATTAATTCTCTTGTTGATTATCTCGCTTTCATCCGAATAAATGAAAAAGATGATCAAAAGTTATGAAAAAAATGTACTTTTTGATTTAAATACGTGTATATATGTGTGTGTGTATTTGATATTAATTTTTGCAAAACATTGGAATTATGAAAAGTTAATTGGATATCGTTTACCTCGATGTTTTACGTCTGCTAGTAAAAGTGGTATTCACGTGTATAGGATGTGTTGAGAAATTTAACACCGAAAATTAATATTTCCAGACGAAGAAACTCTTTGATCTATACGATTCTAATAGTTTTTATGAGAATTTTTCTTACAAAAAGTTTCTTCTTTTTTCATCAAAGATGAGAAAGCACGAGTATAACCGAAGTAAATAAATCAGTTTTTCTCCGCATTTTATATATTTCAAATTTATGAAGCGAACAAAATAAAACGGAGAACGTTTAATATAAAGTATTTCTTTTTCTCAAAGAAAAAAAAAAAAAATAGAAACCATGAAATAACAAAAAATGAGAACATCGTTTCACCTATCCTCTCAATCTACTATTTCCCTTTCCAATAAAATCAATCGAAATTATTCAAATTCATCCCCTATTCGACCAATACCAATTCTTCCATTTATCTCACGAAAAATAACGTAACGAAATTTCCAATAAACGAATCACTCAAACGATCCCTTAAACTACGAAACAAAGCGAGGAAAGAAAGACGCAAAGTTGTCGTCGACTCGAGCCACCCGTTTCTTTATCCGATTATCATCGATACCAAGCACCAAGGGAAGAGGGGGAGGGGGCGCGTTCATCCCTCGAAAGGACAGGGAATACCCCATACCTTCAAGGACGGTCACTCGGGGAATAATTATTCCCAAAGAGGATTAACTTCTCTTCCGCCTGATCTGCTCGTGACGAATCTCTTTT